TAAAATTAACATAATTTAATAATAACTAACGTTTTAATTTTTTTACATCTTCGTTAAAAAAAATTAAACTTAAATCAATCAAAATATATATAAATAAAGTAAATATATAAAGTAATAATAATAATAAATAATAATATATAATAAAGTAAATATTTAAAAAAATGTAGATAATTCTATATTCGCTACATATAATGTATAATACCACATGTATAATACCGCAAATTCTCGTATAATTGCAATAATTACTTGATTAGTCACACGATCATCGTAAGCATCTTCCTCCGGCCATAATTGAGCTAATCTTCGACCAATATTGCGAGTTCTTATTGCCGGATAGGGTCTTCTCGTTCCTCCTTTCATGTACCAAGGTCTTCGCGATGGATCCAAATCTATCGAGCTTTCGCCCAAGTTTGCGGTTCCATTGACATTCAAAGCCTTCAAATGGAAAAGAAATATATATATATATATATATAAATAAACAAAAAATAATTTTTATACGACATCGTTATTTTCTGACATTGTTAGACGTATCTCTATCCAAAGGACAATACTGAATTATACATTTGCCCTTAAACTTAAAAATTTACGAACAATATCGCATTCAACAAATTTTATAGTGTAATGTAATATTAATGACATTTGCATTAATAAATCAATTTACTTGTTACTTTCTCATTAAATGTAATACTTAAATAATCGCATGTGGCTTACCTGAAATTAATCCGAAGTTAGGATAATACTTTTATATACTCTATGATATTACACAAAATTAATTTACTAATTTAACTTTTTCTAAATACACTTCTAAATGCTTTCTGTACTAGTTCTATTAGCAAATATAAAAATTCATGCGATTAATTAAGTGATAATAGTTTCTAAGCATAGTATTATACATGGGCGAACACAAAAGCTTTTTATTCTGACATATATTTTCACTAGATGATTTAAAGAATTAAAATTTAAAATATTATCCACATTATAAAAGTAACGACACTTTTTTAATATGGATAATGTACACATATAAAAGTAACATTTTCTTAATAATAATAATGGACAATTAAACTAATAAGTTAATATGTTGCTACTGATAGCTAAACTATTAAGCCTTCCTAATACATCGCCACGATATAAGAATTTTCAACTGCTATTGTTTGAGACATTAATTACCCAATGTATCGATATAATATCATTTCAACATTAAATGTATTTTAATAAAACATTTGAACAAGCTATAATGACTACTCTAAATAATTTTCGTCGGATCTCTCAACATATTTAATAAATGCATCTTGTATCAAGCATTCAAATATTCAAAGCGAATAGTCTTTCGCTTAGGATTTATCCCCAATCCCAAATTTCGTCGTTCATACTTTATTTTAGAGAATATTCATCTTCATAATTAAATATCTTGGCCATAAATTATATATGATATATGTGTTAGCGCTATGAAGACTCAGCCGCGAAAAAGAGGAAGCCACTAAGTTGTAGTAAAGCAAGCGTACGTACTATGCTTTTTTTAAGGCGCAAGAACAAGCGAGACGACACACGGAAAAAATAACATTATCATACTTTGATTTACTGGGATTTTGATGATAATCGGATTTGAGGATTTTGAGGGATGACCGATAAGTAAGATTTTTTTTTGTACATCTATATACATTACTTGACGCACGTTTTGTCGTGAGGAATTTTTTTAATTGGCAAATATCTAAGAATGCAAAAGCTTGTCGGTAAGGAGTTACTTTCTTTTTAGAATGTTTTTCCGTGTCGTTTTTTTTGGGATTGATCGATTGACCGTACCTCGGACGGATGTCTTTTCCTCACTCGCTCCCGAGTGCGTAATACTCGCGCCGTCGGCTTCTTCGATTTCAAAGGCCAATCGGATTTCATCTGCGAGCGAAATTCATTTTTTATTCCTTTATGCCGAAGGCATATTTTACTTTGCTGCCATTAATATCGCTTATACTTCGCACACCTCCTCCTCCTCCTCCTCCTCCTCCTCCTCCTCTCTGTTTTTCTCTTTCACTCTCGTTTTATCAAAAAAAAATACGATAACGATATGTAACGTAGGAAGTTGAAAATAAATTTATACGTGTTCGCGTGTTACATAATTACAATTATTAAAATATGCGAGAAATATAGCTAATTAAGCTAATATGTTCATTTTTCAATATGTTTTTTCAATGTGTCGAACGCGATTAGATACTGCGATTAGATATTGACTTTTATAGATATTGTTTGTCATCAAGATAGCAAGAGATAAAATTCAATAATTCAATTATTCTGCTCATTTTTTTCCAAAACAACTTGTACTTTGTTCTATGTAATCAATGCTAGATCATATCAATGTAGAAATAAGTTATGAATAAATGAGCTACGAGTATTTTTTTATCACTTGCGAAAAAATATATATGAGAAAATCTTGTAGAAAAGAATTACAATTTTTCTTATTCTGGAATATCGATATTATCATAAAAAAATTATTATCTTATATTTTCATTTCAGTATAATTATATAATTATATCAATTAAAGATATTTTTGTTTAAAAATATTATATATGTTTTGTATTTTTTAAAAAGTATTATTATAATTATTTGAAAATTTTACTGTACGGTTATAAAATAATAATAAAAGAATTAAGGCTTCTATTTACCACTGCTATCTCAAATTATGACATCAGAAGTGATTAAACATACAATAAAAATTTCTGCAAAATATATATTAAAATAGAAGTATGCTTTGATAAAACAGCACTTGCAATAGAAGTTACTTAAAATATGCTGAAAACTGTCCTTTTATTTTATTAATTAATAAACTACATATTTGAAAATTAATTTGTATAACCAAAAACGAAATAAAATTCACAGACTACAACAAAGTTGCAGTTGTCAAGTTAATAATATATAGAAATAAATATAATTTAATTCCCCCTCGAAACAAAAAGACATTTTCGGTACATTTTCGAGATATTTTATGTATTCTATTAATTGCAAACATTATTTTATTAAAAAATATTTCTATTATATTCTATTTAAATATATTTTGCATGAATTTTTATTGTGCATTTTTTCGCTTTTGAAATAATTACATTTGAAATAGTAATGGTGAGCGAAACAGGAGCTTTAAATTCCACTGAAATGAGGAAGAAATCTGACAATCTAAATATAATTGCTTTTAGTAAGCTGCATATTCAGTATGTTCAGTATATTCAAATTCAGTGTGTTTATAATAAAAATTGCTATTATATACAGTTTATTTTTACAGTTATATTTTTATAATACAGTTTAAAATATTTGCAAAAATAATCATGTTTGATTAATAATGTTTGCGAGGAAACTCTTTGTTTTGTTCAAAGAAATATTGCTTAGTTATCTTTGAAGTAAATAAAAGTTAATGTATAATGCAATAATGTTTTGCAATTTATAACTGTAATCTTTATTAATATAATTAATAAAGATGTAATTTTTATAATAATAGATATTATTAGTAATAAAACGTTAGTTAGTTTTTATTAATAATAAATATTACTACATTATTACATTTCAGATTTACAAAAATGTACAGAATGTTAGTGCAAAGCAATATACTGCTTATATAATCTACTGGAGTATTTCTTATAAAGATAAGGCTTTCACGTTTGATGACATAGGTCGATTAATCGAGGACAATTAATAATTTAGAGCGGTTACCTTCGGTCCACCATCGCCGGCAGTTCGAACGGACTGCGGCTGGCCGGGATGCGGCCGCATGCTGTGCCATATCTCGTCCTGCAGCAGATTTAGCAGAACGAGCAACGTGCCTGTCAGACATAGCACGTAGAAAAAGTATCTCTTCAGGGAGAAACGCGGCAGAGCCGCCATGCCGCCCAGTTCCCTAAGTCGGGCGAGACCCTTATCTAGCCATACGCCACTTCGTTCCTCGACATTCGGCTGCGCTGTAACGAAAGTCAACCAAAGGTGAGGTGAGGTATTGATCGATCTTCACAAATAATCTTAAAAAAAAAATAAAAAAAACACGGGGGATAGTACAAACTTCAATAATATTTTCAATAATATTTTACTAATGATAACATTAAGAAATTGTTCATTTTGAATTTTGTTCCCTCTTACAAAATCCGAAAATTCCTTTATATAAATTGAAATTAGCACTCGATTAATTATATTACAAAATACGTTTATCTTTAAAAATGTATCTTTTTCACATTCGTATATATAAATATAATAAAATAACATATTTGTAATAAAATGCACAATAGTAATGCAAAAAAATAAAAATCAATATTTTATCTTTGTTTATATATATATATATAACTTTGTTCTGTATATAAAACATAATTTAAAAAAAAATAACATAATACAAATTTTAAATTATTCCTTTATTTTATATTAGTTTTTGTTACAAAATAAAGATAAACGATGTAATTTGAGAAATAATTCATCTAAATAGAATGGTACAAGAAATTAAATACTGTCCATTTTACAACAAAAGTTTTTACAAATTATTAATTAATGCTGAATTAATTAATGCTGAATTTTATTCAAATTTAATTCATTATAATACAGCATAAATAATTATGCAAAATTACTTTATTATGATTTAAAAAATTATGATTAATTGATAATTGTCAAATAAATTAAAATAATATCCATTATATCGGATTTATTATTTTAATCTGGAGAAAGATAAATTTTTAATTATAACTAATTAAGTATAATCTAATTTTTTACATACTTAGATAATAACACGAATTGTTCACGTATATTGCTCATAGATACAATATATATATATATATATACCAACGTTTAGTAAATGCAATCCAAGAACACTAGTGAAATTTGATAAGTATTGACCTTAACCTTGTTAATTTCCGGAACACTGCTCTACTAAACAT